TGGAATATTTGATGCCGTTTAAACTCATAAAGAATACATATGGCAAGTTTTTGAAACGCACTCACTGGTCAATTTTTGTTTAAAACAATTTATTTTAAGACTGATGAAGTTTCGCTACCAATGTACACAATTTTGTAAATGGAGGTTATTTTTTCCGTAAATAAATAAGTTACACCTTAGGTACACGTAGTGTTCATAGTTTAGCAACTTCAGTTTTTTTAAATTTTCTATAGAAATACTGATTTCATAATACTAACAAAATTTAACAGCATAATAATAAAACGTCTATAGAACAGCTTCAATACATATAAAGAAACCGATTAAGTAGGTTATAGCACCATAAATTATTATTGGCATTTTAAAACCGAACTCCACAAGAAGTGGAATATCAAAATGGACTGTTTCTCGAATAAAAGTAACGCCTATGAGCCATAATATTTAATACGATAACCATAGGTTGATTTTGAAAGAAATTTAATCTCGTACAAATGTTAACATAATATAAAGAGCCAGTGGAGCTTCCACCGGTAAATGATTTCACTAAAAGCAGGTTTTTAATAAATCTGGATTATCGAATCAATCCTAAGTGCACCTATCGTTCAATAAATAATTCTAACTACTCTAAGTAATATTAACTCAAGTAAAATAGAATTTAACTACAACCTTACCTTAGCATATCTTCGACCAGCAGCTAAATCTTAATATTAGTTGACTTCAAGCGTGAAACTTAGCGCACTAAGTTCTGTGTCGGCAGCTATTTTAAGTCGTGGAAAAAAATCAAATTAATTGTAAACGTTACTTTACTTTGATTTAATTTAATTCAAACACTATGATATAAAAACCAAAGTTAAAAAACTTAAAAACTTATTCGATACAATTATTAAAAAAATTCACTGTCGAAATATTATATTACAATATAAATTAACTAATAAATTTTATTCGATTAAACATTTACAAAGTGTTTATCGTCGTCAAAAATAAACAATATATTCACCAGCTTCCTATTATAATAATAATAATAATATTTATAGCCAGCACAGTATTACACATAAAATAATATGTTTATTTAGATAATAGCCAACACAGTATAATATCAATTGTATATTTGTATATACAACATAGAGCTTAATATACATCATAATATAATAATTACAATAATAGTTACAAACTATAATGTATACTGATAAACAATTAAAAAACAAAATAGAATACTAATACATTTTTATATGGACATAACATTATAACAAAAGTGAATGTTATTGAAAAACCAACATTGTTTTGATTTAAAGTAAGTATAATATAAGTAATAAATTGACACGGATTTTGTTTTAAATTTAGTGATATCAATATTTGATTTCCTATACACAAGTCTATTCCTAAATTAACAGTAGGTACCTATAACTTTTTCCAAAATGTTTGTTTACAGTTATACAGTTTAAATGACTTGAAGTTCTTAATCAAGTAGGTATTGTGAGAATCAAAAAATGTAATCCAAATATAAACATCGTTACATCAGTTTTAAACAAAATATGTAGTACGCAACATTCAGTAAACATCAGTATAAATCCATCACTTAATCTTATTTTCTATGTACTGGTCCAATTATTTATAATAACCTTATGAAGTAGGTACGCGATTATACAAATTATATGTTATAATTAAACTAAATTTAACAAATTGTCGACTACAACGAGCTGCTGATTAGTATAATAATATATTACACTACACTTGTAATTGACGTTAATACTTGTCTAAAAACAGTGACCCGTTGAAGATTTTTTTGAATTTTTTTTCTATCTTTAAAATCTGTGTTTATTCTACTATTATTTTTAGGACATTAGCTTAAATGTAAAAATGAATACTCAAGTTGTATTTTTTGCAAAATTATCTTACGAATCGAGGTGTCACATAATTTTCGAGCTCGTCACGCGTTTTTTATGATCGAATTTCAGACTAAAAAAAATTTTCATGGCACATCGATTTGTATGATTTGTAATTTACACTTAATTAGTTTAAAAATAACAATAGAAATAAATATTGCTCAAGTTATTGATGAACTGGCCACCCAAAGAAAGGAAACTTGATTTTTTATTATAATTGTTTAGTAGACCTGACAAAATTTATAAATGCGATGTACTAAAAATAATGATTAAAGTTACGTCTAAGCATTTAATGCTTAAATTAATAAACTAATTATATAAGAATATAAATAGTATACAATATTATTATGTAATTAAAATATCATATTATGATTATACCTAATAAGTTGTTACAAAATGTTAGTTGTTTAAAAACATAATACAGATTTAACGACTATTTTTTTAAAATTTAAATCTGAACTCATGCATTTTTGTATTTGACGTTGACTTGCCTCAATACCATGTAGTAGGTGTATAATGCTTTTACAAACTAAAAAGGATTACATAAATTTAGTTCTAAGCAGTTAGTGAAAATTGGTACCTATACAAAGCGTGACAGAAAGACTTGAGGAAAAAAATCTATGCTACTTAAACGTATGACAAAAATTGTTTAAATTACATGATTAGTAAATAATTTAAGAAATATACTCATGTCAGTGAATTCCCAAAAAAAAATATTTTTAAAAAAGTTATTAAGTTCCAAAAACATTTAATTAAAACAATATTGATAATTAAAAAATTCTAAAAAATAAACTACTTGACTTAGATAAATGTCTTTTACTATCAAAATTGTTCTTATAATCAGAATCAAAAATTGTCTATTTTGGATAATATATCCAAAAATATTTAAATTATTTTTTTATTTTCAGTGTTAAAAAATAAAATAATTTTTTTTATAATATTTATGTGTAGCGCAAGTGACTATAAATTATATATAAAAAAAAAATTTCAAATATTGATTAGAACTAAAGTTATTCTAAAAGTCAGTTCTAGTTGTTACACCTGGTATATAGTGGCTAGTATTGGTGGATAGTGGATACCTCTGTATACCGTGTTCTACTTATGGTATTAGTATACGTCTTCCTTTAGCTAGCCATAAAGGTATGGGAAAGTAGCCAGTAGGGTTGCCTATGTATAAATTATAAAAGGCCAGCTCTTAAGGTAATATTAAAGTAACTTGATACCTCTTGAAGTAACTGTTGATCGATGCTCGAAATTACATATTATTTTTAATATACCAATCGAGTAATAATTTGTACAAAATAAGCGTTTAAGTTAGTCAAAATTTAATTTTGTACAAATCGAACCTAGAGTCTAAATTTTTTTGAAGTTATAGTATATAGATATATTTTAATGTTTCATACATTATATGTATAGCTGGTAAGTGCATTATTCATCTCTAGGTAAAATTATGTTGTATAAAAAAAGTCTAGCAGTTTGAGTTAAGTATATTGGTAAGTTACCTATGCCTACATATGATGTTTCCATTGACTGCAATTACTAGCTGTTGCATATTATTTAACCGACCATATTTGCATTATCTATAGACTTTAAAAACGGCCCAGTCACGCACTCACGCGTTTCGAGGATTCATTTTTTCCGATCTGGCCTCTAGGGAAAAAAATTCTATACCCAGTACCCACAAGTTATCCGTGAGTGGTCGTGCAATATAATATATATGACCGTGTACCGTAGCTTCACCCAAATTCAACATTTCCCGGTTGGTCCAGATACCCATCGTATTCCGTGTATACCAGATACCCACAAAATTGAGTTGGCTATGATTTTTAAATAATATTTGAAACTTATACTCATAAAAATTATAAAAATGTATGTCACAAAAAAATGTAAAAAAAAAATCCACACAGTTTATTGGTGCCTATACTTATCTATACAACAATATTATATTAAATACATTTAAAAACTTTATAATATTCAATAATTATAACATTATTAAAGTTATACCCTTTTTATTTTGGTGGCATCGAAACTACATAAGAGGATCACAGCACACGTATTTTTCATACGTTTTAGACCATGCAATAAGCGGTGGTAAATTACACGCATAAATACTTCGAAACGTTTGATTTCAATAATCGATACATGTATGAACTCTTTGACAACATATCTAGGCTTTTTATGAAATTGATTTTCAATTTTCAATTTTAGAAGAACCTTAAAACCAAGATATTTTTCAAAATTCCCATGAAATAATTGCATAATATTTGTATTTATTTACTTATTTTAAATCAAAATAAGTGATTCCTAAAGTGCCTAATAATATAGTCTAGAAGCTTATAAATTCTACCGTTTTTCGAAATTAGTATGAAACTTCAGAAAGTATGTTTAATTTACTACCGCTTTTAGCAGTTTTTATAGTTATGCAAACAAGAATATATTTAACTTTTTGCGATGTATTGACATTAGCGTGCGCGTGTTAGAGTTGCATCCGGTGGCGGTTGCCTGACGTGGCATTACAGCGGTTCTCGGAAACGCACACTAATGTTCATTTAAGAATCACACATAGCCTAAATGTTCATGTCATGTGAATTGCCTGGAGCTCCCTTAAGCATTACGTTGACAGAGCCTCCGTTTTTTAAAAATTTTTTTTAGCAATTGATACAGCAAATACAACAATTTGTTACAATTTAGCTTCCGGAAGCCAGAGACCGTAGCGATTACTAGTATAATATATGTGTGGGTCCATAACATCCCGAGAGTGTACAGTGTTAAGACTGAAGGCTTTGCCACATGGTGATAGACAAGACGTAGCTCACCTCGCAACTATTATATTATAGTATTTCGGAAGTCACGTACTGAGTTTCCTCTTCGCGAGCCGGCGTGTGCTTGCTGCTCTTGTATATTAGTACTTTATACATATTTGTATATTATTATTATTATTATTATTTTGCTTGCTAGAGGAGGACAGACGCCTACCGGAAGGTTCCCGTCACCTTCCCTCGGCCACCTGTCATGCTCTTTCTTTTTCTTCCTTCGCTGTCATTATATTTTCCACCATCAGATAAAAAAATCCTAATAGTTTCATCGGCGTACCACAAGACGTTTGCCTTCTCTGCTGGTTCAACGGGGATACACTAGAATACAGGACCACAGAGAATGTTTGGCATGTCTATAGAAGCTAGTGGACGTCGCTGTAGGGTACCGAGGTCCACGCTTTGACCACCCCATGAAACAGCCTGTGCTCAGCCGTATCCGATTAACGAGGACAGCACTGACGGCCCTACCCATTCGATGCAAGTACTGTTGAAAGCGCCCGTTTCCGGTTAGCACCTGGGTCATATGAAAGGTCAACCGTGGTATACGCTGCAGGGCACCGTACGCCAATCCCACCTGACGACGTTTGGGATGAGCCTGGAGCGTCCAGAGGACCTTGGTGCCTGGTATACCTTCAATCTTCTGTCTCATTCCCAGATGATGCGGTCTTCCGTTCGATGGCCTAATTGATCTCAGCTCGGCGGAGAGGACGGCGGAGGTTTGGAATTAAAGTTATATCTAATACAAATCATTATTTAACACTGACAATTATCTAAAAAATCATTACCAACACAACCATCATGCAGGGTTGCTCTCTGGATGTATATATTGTGTGTATAACATTTAACCGACTTATTATATCGACGGAGAAACAGAATTTAATGTTCTATTATTAAAATACGAGTTGAACGATTCACACGCATTCGTCATTAACCGAATACTCGCGGCTGAATTGTACGCCTATTTTGTAACGGTTAGTATTGGTATTTAATACGGCGAGGAAATAATATATTGTTGTCGTGTTACCTCGGCAGCTGCAACTGTCGATCACTGCAATGCCGCTGCAGTCTAATCCGTTTACGCAAAAAGCGTCATGTATACCAGATACCACAATATCGTGGGTATAAATTGTTGTCCTACAAAATAAATTGTACAATTATATTATACCGTACTATAGTTAGTGTTGTTGTAATGTTATGCTCGAGTGCTCCGAGCCTGAGAATCGTTCTCCAGACCGCCCATATAATAATATTATGTCAAAAGGGTCTGCGTGTGCCCTACACGCTTACCCACAACTATAAATATATTATATTATTTATTTCGATTAATTATGCATTATGCTTATAACATATACTTAATATTATGTTTGACAAAGTTATGTTGTTTTTCGGTCGAACTTGAGTTGTAGGCCTACGGACAATCATTGAAACTGATAACGGTGAACTTAATGCACATTCGCTGCAAGTTTTATTTTTTTTATTAATTCGCCGAAAATATAATACCAAGTTTGGTCAACATTCGAAATGAGTTTTGTACGTTTTTGTACATTTGAGGCTTCAGCATAATATTGCTTTGTGTTTTTTCAAATATTGTTTTTCAACTTATTCTTCTGGCTTATAGTGTTTTATTCGATGATTTGGCCGTGTGGTGATTTATTCTTTGTTTGTTGTTGTGAACAGAGCTTGTTGATGAATAAGAAAACTAATAAAAAAATATTATGTAGGTACTGATTTTTATTGTTATGTTTAAACACTGAACAATATTTCGAATAACGAAATGATGTAAATAAGAATAACAACGAACGTAATATTGACAAAGGTTTATTAAACTTCTTTTTGTTATTATTACATAACTATCAACTCTCGATAACTAGAATTTTTTCCTTGCCCCTTTCATATTTTTATATATTCAATGCAATATTTTTCACGATAAGTCAAAATTGAAAAACTTACTAACTGTACGTAATATATTATATAACTTAAAGTCGGTAATGATAGGTTCACCATTTGAATCAGCTTACACATAAATGTACATAATAATATATTGATATAAAGGAAAATACAATCTTAATTAAAAAATATAATCAACAGTTGGCTTATATCTAAGTTGCATAGCATGTACATTGTACAATGGCAGTGCGGTATGCTCGTGGTATGTCTCTTTAACGTAAATTGACAAGGTAATAGCTAAATAAGTAAATGTAATAAACGAGGGAATTACAATTAATATAGTAAACGAGGGAATTACAATTAATGTGGTAAACGTAAAAATTAAATCATCAAACAAATTAATATTTCACCGAGTAAACTTTTAACCATACCTACTGAAAAATAAAAGGCGATATTTTCATCAGTACGAAACTAATTAAGATGTAAGAGGGACAGTGAAAAGAATCCGAAGGTTTCTGAGTATCCTGACATACATATTATATAGTTACCTATACTGAATTGGCTAAAAAATGTAGAGATTTAAACGTTCCAACAAATGAGCAAATTTTAAGGAATAACGCTGCGTTTTTCTCAACTAAACTTATGGCCACAAAAACGATAAAGCTATATAGTCAATGTTAGTTAAGATGACGTCGTGTTGTCTCCGTCTTACTAACTCTAAATATACCATAGCTTACGTCTAGCAATTCCAGTTTTGTATTGTTTGCTATTATATTATATTAGAGTGAATTGACATATTTTTAAACTTGCAAGAAAATTATCTGTGTTCTTTCGTTGGTTTTTTAGGATATTTTTATTTGAAAGTAAATTATGGGTATATCATCTATGTAAAAAATTTATATTTAAAAATGCTCATAGTTCACTCTCACAAATAAAAGTATCGTAAGAAACCAACGAGAGAACACAGATAATGTTCATACATTTAAGTTTGATAGTAGGTAAATTCACTCTAATATTTAAGCCAACAACACTACATTAGAACTGCTGGACGTACCTTTTGATGTATATTATGCTTATTAGTAAGACGCAGACAACGCATGCGAACAGTGGCGTCATTTCAGTTTTTATTAGACTAGGGCAATTTTTCACTGCTTTTCCGACTCAAAATGTTTTGTCCCAGATTCTCATAGCATATAGAGCCATAGAGGTTAACGGGGGGGGGGGGTGTAGTAAATGTGACGACTTCAGTTTGATGTAAATACTAGACTGGGGCAAATGCCCCAGTTGCCCCCTCCCCCCAAATTACGCCACTGCATGCGGGGATGACGTCCTCTTCAGCAATTGTTTTTTTTTATAAAATATCTTTTTAAAATGCTTCAGACATCGACTGGCGTTTTTAAAATATACAACAAATATTTATTAATAGCTATTAAATATATTCTCTTGATGATGGTTTATATTTTGAGTGTTTACCAATTCAAACATATTTTGTTTTAAAAGAAGATGAGGGTTCAGGAGGAAGAAACTGTATAGACAGATAGTTACGAAAGTTCTTTTAGGGGTCAAATATGACACTGATACTAATAAAATCGAATCACTATTAATTGGAAAACCTCTGTCTTTGAAAGGTGTTACAACTTATCCATGCGATTTTCAATCGAATAAAAAAGCGTGGACTACAAGTGAAGTATATGAAAAATGGTTATTTAATTTTGATAAAAATAAAAAGTTTAAAAACAAAAAAAATACTCCTTTTTATTGACAATTATATTGTAATCTCCATAAAACAAAAAAAGAAATTCAATTCTGTTAGAGTAGAATTTATTCCGTCAAACACAACTTCACAACTTCAGCCTATAGACCAAGGCATAACACAAAACTTTATAAAATCTTATATCGTAAACAAGCCATTCGCGAAATGATTTATAATATTGACGAACATAGATATTTTTCTATCTTGAATTGGCATACCATGCTACAAATTCAAGACATTGTATGCCAAAACCTCCGAAACGTTCAGTAGAAAACATGATCAGGCATTCAGGCTGATTGTTAAATTGTACCTTGGATTTGGTTTCAAGAAGAGGAAATCTAAATTTAATTTAATTTAACATGTCATATTCATTTAATTTAGATTCTGATCCTAAAAGTTGGTAAAATAGCATTTTAAAAATATTAAAGGCGTATATGATTTTTTTTTATAAGCATTTGAAGTTTAATGTTTAATAATAATATATTAGTCAATATCTCGAAAATTATAAAATTATTTTGTAGTTAAAAATGTATAAAATGTTTAATTTTTATAACTAAGGATTGAGAGTTTAAAACGAGATTTTTCATAAGTAGTTTATACAAATATATAAACACGGTTTTTTTTTATAGACATTCTAATTAAAAATTATGATTTAATTAGATATTTGAATGATAATAATAAGGATATTATAATTATATTTATATCTTGTAATTCAAAAACTTTATTCATGGGGACCTACAACTTTTACTTATAATATATATTTTACTATACTCAAGCAATTCAATTTTCAAAATTTTGATTAATTTTGATCTATTACCTGTTTATACCATGAAACTATTACCTATATTCACATTGTTCAGCGGTAAAATGGTATCGACTCAAAAGTTAATAACAATATAATAATAATTATACAATGATCAAAATATACACTATTATGATAATTTTGCATTATTTGGAGTGTTCAGAGCGTACATATTATTAAATTCAATAGCTGTCTTGTACAGTTGTACGACGGGAGCTTTAAAAAAAAATCCTTACCTCTATTTCTAGTTATTAATTATTATAATGGTTAATTCAACATTTCAACATATAATTCCAATGATTTTACACGCCTGAAGAGTTAGTTAATAAAATGACAAGTGGCAGCCAGAATTGTTAATAGATGTGGGTGGCTTATAAGAACTAATACGAAAAACTTTCACCCCATCGCCCTAGGACTATGAATTGTACAGTTAATTTATGTACTCTTCCAGTTGTAATTTCTGCCAATTGTAGCCAACGTGACTACACGCATGTAGTCGACCTACACGATAAATGTACATTACCGATGACACTGACACAGCAAAGTCATCTATTCCGCGTTTGCCTCCTGTCAACCCCTGTCCCTTACTTCATTTACGTTTAAAAATGCCACGATGAAAAACCATATATACCTATACGTTGAAAAATAAGTCGACCGGAGCTGCGCAGGACCACAGAGCCGGCCGATACGGTCGTGGCCCGTGGAATATTTTTTAACGATTTCCCAGGAGGTCTCGTCATTTACATCGTATAATATACATATATATATATGTTTATATTTAATGCGGACTCGTCAGTCGATTTATTTGACGTAGGTATATTAATACTACCTACAGTCGGACGCCCCGAGGATTCGCTTACTGGGCAGAAAAAAAATAATGTCGACTTTAAAAAAGGGTTCGTTGTTTTTCCGTTTGAATTGAACATATTATGTAATGTTATTATCATATATTATTATATACGGCAGGTAGGCGTGTATATTATACGCTGGATTCGATGTCACGTGATAAACCAGCGATCTCCCATCATATTTTTATGGTTAACGATTTTCGATTTTGGAATTTTGATTTTTTTCAAGCGATCGAGGGACAGATGTAAGTATCAATAGGTAATCGTTTCTAAACAAATTATGATAATATAATAACGATATTATCAGTTATGACTTTAGACGATAAGTTTATCGTTTATGCTTACTATATATTATATCG